TCGGATGAGATATCAAAAGAAAAACATTGTCTTTCAATACATTGATGAAAAGCATTCTGCTACATTTCAATTTTCGTCCTATGACTATTGATTGATTTCTCTTGTGGGAAAGATATTTGTTTTTCATGCCTGGAAAAAAAAAACTTGACATGTGAATATGTGATGATTTCTAGTTCATGTCATGTACAAGTGTTGTACTCTTATAAACATAAGTGATGTGACAAAATACAATACTATTATGTAATCATTGTTTAAGAATGATAAATAAAGCGAAGAGTATTCTCTATTAAGTAAAACAAAACATTTAGTTATTGTGTATGTTAATTTTGACAATGATGAATAAAGAGAGATAATTGAGTGTTAAATAGAATGTATCAAGGGAGGAACATATGTTGATTAAGTGAATAGAATGGTATTTTAATTAAGAATCTATATTGATAATTGATGATACTAAAAAAACTGTTCGATTAAATATAAAAAAAGTAACGATGAAATATGTTTATACATTGGATTATTATTTCTTTTTTTTTTTTTATTCTTCTATTAAATATCAAAGTAATGTTTAGATATTTTATTAACTTATTGATTGACCCACTTCTTCTTTCGAGAAACAATTAAATTATTGTTGATTTTATCTCTTTCTTTTTGTCTATCAAAGATGTTATCGAAAACAAAAATTCGATGTGCAGGTGCAAACAATAAATAAAATTATTCAAGTGATGACACGTGTCTATATGACATTTATTGTTCTCATGATCATTTTTTTTTTAGTTTAGTATGAAAAAAAAAAAGTAAATATAATCGATCATTTCGATATAAAATTGAATTAATTATCTGATGACCTGAAAAGGATTAACTATATGTATTTATACCTCTCTATATTTTTAATTTACACGCGATATGACAATCGATCATATTGATAGGCGGAGTAATTGTTTAACATATACATGTGAAATAGATCCTATTTATAAAAATTGAATACTTTGTTTTTCCTGCAAGAAACTATTTACATTGTGTATCGTTTAAGTGAATGAATGGATAACAATACGGTACACATTCGCATGAATGAATATGAATGGATAGATCATGTGGTGTCAAACAATGAGTTATTCATTGAATAGACAATAAAAAAAAAAGACTTTTTGTATGTGTGTGTCTATATATCTTTGTTCTCATTGATTTTTGTAAAAAGTGATCAATTCAGACAAATGTTCTTATATATCGAATAGAGCTACTTATCAGAATAGAATGTCTCAATTGACCAAGATTTTTTTATTTGATGTTCTACCGCTGCGTTAATTTTATATACCTGTCAATGTTTGTAAACTGCCACGCGTCCTAATTTCTTTTTCTTTTTTTTTTTTTTTTGTGATGTGTTTAGTTTCAAAGAGATGATGACTAGACATACTATCCGTTGGGGAGTAATAGAAGTTGTATGTATTCATTAACAAACAATAAATTAATGTAAAGTAGAACAAAAAAGAAAAGGTAGATTGATCGAATAATAAAAAAGAAAAAGAATAACAATAATATACATTAGTCACTCGATTATGTTTTCAATAAAAGTTTATCTAATGGCATTTTAATATCAGTTATTTTCCAATCTACATGATATTGGCGTCGACTGCAGGTGCTCGTAAATTGTCATAATGAACTTTTCTTCTATTATTATTATTATCTATTTCTTTGTTTGTTTTTATGTTGTAAACAGCATGTCATAGGCGTCATTGTGTCTACATGAGAAAAGCCACATGCACATTTAACAAGCATATAGAAATTCAAGGATAAACAGACAAGATATTTTATTATATGAGTAGTTGTGATAATATAAAAGAAAAATTTCTTTCCATTTGAAGAGATTTCAATATACAAATAAATTGACCGTTCTTTTTATCTCATATAATTTAACAAAAGAAAATTCTAATTAGCTGTTTTTTTTTTTCATATTTATATTATATATGTATGCCCATCATCATGTATTTTATGTCGATATGTGTATTCAAGGTATTTTTTTTTTTTGTTTCTTGAATGTGATCAATTGAAAGACAAGTCGGTAAGATCAAAAAAGAAAATACATGGATGAGTTCAATGTTGATTTTACTACTAGAAAAATAATACTTAATTGCTAAGTAGAAAAGAAATCAAAAGAAAAGTACAGTTGTCAGATGTGTCAAGCACGCGCCATTTATTACTATGTAGGTGTCAGACTGAACTCAGCATGTCAATGTCTGGTCGTCATTCATACGATTTAAAAACGGGGATAAAATATCACCGATATGTACTTCCGATTTTCTTTTTTTTTCATGTCTCATGAGACTAATCGATGATGATGATCAGAAAGATCGACCAAGCAAAGTGTCAAATGCAATGAACTTATTATATTATAGATCAAAGAAATGGTACACATCCTCTTTTGAGAATTGATGCTATTTGCTTCTCCTCCCCTTAATTGTTATCCATCAATGAATACTTTGATTTTTTTTTATAGCCATAAGCAAAAAAAAAAAAAAAAAAGACATCACACACAAGTCTCTCTTCGTATCAATTGATTTTGTCTATGTATGTATGTATGTACGAGTAGTAACACATGTGTCACATTATCAATGATAAGATTATGGATACTGTATTTTATCACATTACAAGAAGTACCGATGCAGAAGTAATACATAAGACAAATATGCCTATCACAAGCACATTAATAATTATATCGATGATTTTTTATAGAGGAAATTTTCACCTGTAAAATCAATATGATTATTTTTCTTTTTTGTGTGCGTGTGTTGTGACTGTGTTTTTTTTTGACTCAGAATAAATATCAAATGATGAAAGAAAAAATGAAACCTTTTTTTTTTTTAAAAAATACGTTTCCATGGAGCACCGATCAATACAAAACAAGTGAATATTTATGATCAAACAGGTGCATTAGGTTCTATTGTATTAGATCTTGGATCATATTCTGGTGGTGCACTTGGATTAAATGATGTTTCAATACCAAAATCATTTGGATGTGCAGCAACAAAATTATAAGGTGGTGGTATTGTATGTTTTCCTAATGAATCTTTACTTATTGTTTCATAATCTGGTAAATCTGCATTATTCATTTCAAAAACAGGATTATTATTATTAATTGATATAGGACTTGATGAAATAACTAGGTTTTATTAAAATATCTAATATAATATGAAGTTTAAACTGAATAAAATTATATTTACCTCGAGATTGTCTTCGAAAAGGACATTTACATCCAGCACCACAAAGTTTAAGAAATGGTCGCAAACATACTAAACAAATTGCTATAAGACAAAGAGAAACAATAACAACAACAGGTATTGCTCTAAAAAAATAATATAATAATGATTTTAATATAATCAAAAAGCTTAGTTTTTTTTTTTTCGAATTCTTACAATCTCCATGATAATATACTAGTACAACATGCCATATGTGGAGAAGTAGCCGTACCGGGACAACAAACACCATTACAACTTAAAAGTAAAATTATATATTATATTTTTTAAATAAATTTTATTCTATATTATGAACTAACTTAATGGAAACAAGTGCTGATTGATTACGATAATAACATATGTCATTAGCTTGAATCTGTTTAATATAAAAAAAGAAAATAACAAGAATTCAAAAGATCGAATTTTGTTTGTTTTTTTTATTTTATACTAACTTGTTGTATCAAGAGAATATATAAACCGAGACCAATTTCTATTAGCATTTTTGTTTTCTGTCAATTATTATGCACGGTTGATTGAAATAGTATTAGTTTGTTTTCGAAATTTTTGAAGAAACAGAAGAAAAAAAGAAAGTGTCTTTTTTTACAATTCTCATGGTTTCTCATTCTATCATTTTTTTTTCCTTCCGAAGCAAAAAATAAACAATGACATTTTGAATTTTTTCTTGTGCCGTTGAAATTGAGATTCTTTTTTTTTTTTTCTTTCTTACTGTTAACTTTTTAAATGTAGCTGAAGGATGTAAAGAGAAAAAAAAATAGAAGAAAATTTTTCTTTCTATTATGTCTATTTCTATATAAAATAAAATCTATGTATGAAAAAAAAAAAGACAAAGAAACAAATATATTGATCAATAATGGAAATATGTCCAATAATATATCTATAGTTATGAAAGATCACAAATAAAATAAAAAAAAAGCAAACTTTTAAATATGTACTGAAAGTTCATTTTAATCTAGCATGTCGAACATTTATTATTAAACTACAAATTATTAAAAAAAAAAAAGACATTCATTCGGAAAATTGTTAATGTTTTCCTTAATTAAAGTAACATGATGTTGACAATATTCATTGAATTTTTGATTGAAGGATTCATAAAAATCGTTCCAAAATACAAGCCTGAAGTTTTTTAATATTAATAATTGCTATAGAAAATTTTATGTTGAAAAAATGTTGTACCTAATTCAATCAATTTTTCTTTCTCGAAGAAAAAAAAAATATTGATCACAGTTTAGGTTCTAATTTAATTTTCTATTCAATAGAAATATAAGAAAAACTTAATTTAAAATTAGTAAATATTGAAGTAGAACGAGATTTATCAACATTTCACATTCCACATTAATAAAGTGATATGAATAAATTCTAGAACAGTTTTTTCTATAGGAACCAAAAAAAAAGAAACTTGGCTTCGCACATCCCGTTCCAAATTTATTCATACTTTGCACTCAGAAGGTAACCGTTTATGGTTAGTATAGCGCATATTGTGTATCGAACGATCTATCGATGATTTGAATCGTATGGTATGAGAAAATTAATTTTTTCGATTATGAGAATTATTTTTATTTGTTATATCTGTAAAAAATAAAAATTCTGATTAACATTTTTATTTTCACCGTATTTTGATATTTCCATCAAGCTTTTCTATCACTCGGAAGATTGTCACAATATATACAACTTATAAATTCATATAGTTTGTTATTTAATTTGATTAAATATAATTGATATTGTTATTGTTTCATTCTTTACAGATGATAACTGAAATTATTCGTTAGTATTATTATTATTATTATTATTTTCTTTTTCAAATGATGAATTATTTTTTGTTTTTGATATTAAATCATAGGATGGTGGTGATTCTTCAACAATAAATGGTTTATGATAAGGATTAAAATAAATTGTCGATGCAGGTGCTTGATTATAATCAGTAGGTTCTAATTGAACAAAACAAAAAAAAAATTCTTTTTTTTTTAATATAAAAATTTATTTACTTATTGATAAATTTGTTATATTTCGTTGAGATTGTCTCTTATTATATCGATAAATACAACATATGATTATACATACTATAAGAGTCAAAATAATTGGCATAAGAATAACCAAAGCTCTAAAAATTTAAATTAAGTTTATTTTTATTATGATAATTTTTCAAATCAAAGATATTGAAATCTTACATTAATATATATGAATCATTATCCAAAACTGGATGTCTCAAAGGTGGTCGATTATTATCATTGAATCGTTCGACTGGTGGTGGATTTCGATGAATAGATAGTGATCGTATATATTTTTTCGAATCATTTGAAAACCATTCAATAAAAACATTTTGTCGTATACCTTGCATATTCGTATTTCTCTATTCGATCTTAGTAAGCACTTATTCAGTGTTATAAGGTCGAATAAATGAATAGTTATGAGAGAAAAAAAAAATCATGATCTATTACCCTCTATTCAAGATTGGTCTCTCCGTCGATTTTTTTTTCTTCTTTACAATATATTGAGACGCAAACATATACGTGTAAACCTATATATTTTTTTTTAATATATACATCGAGTTGTATTTTTATTGACAAAACAACAATATTATTTCTTTAAAATAAATAGAATATTGTCATTTATTTGATATGAAAAAATAAAAGTGAATGATGTTTTTTATTTTAAGATTTATCATTTTAATTGATAAAAATAATGATTTTTATTAAATTGTGATCATCTAGATAAATTTTTATTATTGAAAATTTTAATAATATAATATATGTAAAAAAAAAACAGTTCTTAGAAATTTTCCAATCGATATATTTTCACAGCAACTTACGTGATTGGAATAAATTAAATAGTCATTTTAAAAGTATACTTATTGTGCAAAACTAAACGTTCTAGCTTACACAAAATAAGAGAGATATTCATGTGAGAATATTATTAAACATTTTTTTTATACACACAAATAAAAAAATAGACAGACCGAACACTAATGAATTCTATGTGACAAATTCGATGAGCAAAATGCCCTGATTATTCAACATTAAAGAATTGGGTATTTTGAGAACCAAAAATCGCATATAACAAATTTCTTTTATGAACTCTAAGATATATCGATTGAAAAATTTCTGAAAACTTTTTTTCCCCTCATACTTTATATTGTCATTGAAAAACATACGGAAAAGACTAGAATATATTTTAATATTTTCTGTAGAAATTCAATTTTGAAGAAAATATAAGAAGGACAAATTGATACAATATATTAAGTAGTAAATCGAATAAATCTAAAGTATATTCATATTTTTTCTTTTCGTTCTTTCGAATTTATACAAAAAAAAAAACCTATTGAAAAATTATTCAGTTATAAGAAAAGAATATTTCTATTTTGCATAAATATTTTTTTTGCTTTTTCAATATAAAAATATTAATAAAATTGTTGAATCAGAAAATTCCGAGACATCATAATCATGTCGTAGAAGATATTAAAAAAATAACCATTATATATCTGATTTATTATTATGTCGATGAATTTATTCTTAGTCAATGTTATATAGTTACTAGTCTCTTTTATTGTTATTTTTGTATAGAAATACAGTTCATATAGTGTACACAAAAGAAATCAAAACAATAATCTTGATTGTAACGAATTCGTGCAAGAAATTATTGTATAAGATAACTTTTTCATTTCAAACTGAATTTTGGAAAAAATCACGCTTATTCTTTATCAATGGTCTAGCAAAATAAACCTGTTTATCGACAGAAGTCTGGAGGAGAGGATCTTTCTATACATAAAAAGATGTCAGACATTTCACTCATTCCTTTATTTACCTAATAAGACATTTCGAGTAAGTCATTACGACACATACATATACAGACTTTTCATGCTCTCTAGTTTTTTGATAATACGTCTATTAAGTCTTAAGAATTATCGATAATTATATATAGTTGAATGCTTCATTTTGTTTTGACAGGGGATCTTTAGAATAAGTTATTACTCTATATATTATACACCTGTGATAGACGCACCATCGAAAAAAAGAAAGGTTTACAGGTATACAATATATATAAATGAAGAGTTCTAAAGACCCCTCCCCCCCCTGGTCTCTTATTTCTATTTGAAATCGAGTGTTTATTTTTCTCTCTATAGTCAGATTGAAAGCAAATAGTTCATTGTATGTAAGATTTGGTCATGAAAGAAATTTTACGATACAATAAGAAGTAACTTGTATAATGGAGAAGACTCTATTCAAATTGAAAATATTTTAGATGACATCAATAGACATGTGCGAAACTGGAATTCTAGACTATCTGATATCTTTAATTCTGTGACTTTTTCAATGAAATTTTTCGTACATCATAAATCAGTTTATTATTTTCATGCTAATATCTTGTAATACAGAAAAAACTGTATCATGATAAATAAGACGATATAAATATAGAAAAAAAAAAAAACTCCATCGTGATAAATAAGATGACATAAATACAGATAAAAGATGTAAATATTAAATCATAACAAATTACAATCATATACACGTCTATATAAAAACACATAAACAATTTTGTTATTATGAATACTAAAATATATCTTTGTCATCGTCTAATTGCATTTATTTATCTTGTTCACTGGACATTAGTTTCATCATCTTTAGGCAATCATTCTTTTTTCATTTATAATAAATTCTTTGATAATACATGTTTACTTGAAATAAACGATCAAGAAGCTGTCTCTTTTGATTTTATTCACAAAATCATTTCAAATAAGAAGGAGCAGTCCCGGTCGCCGGAGACCAGGAATATATTAGATTCACCACGACTATGATCGGGACTGCTCAACAAGAAGCTATCGAAACTGAGCTCAGATTGGAAACAAAAAATTTGGTCACGCACATATTTATTCATGAGATGGATATACTTATGATTTTTGTTTTAAACATAAGAACAAAAAAACTTTTTTGCTAATGAAAGAAACTAATGGATCTTTTTTTTCACGTGTAATGTCTCGTATACATATACAAAATTCTAATTTAAATCACACTTCTATTTCGGAATTATTCCAAGTTAGAACTCTTTTGATAAAGAATTATTTGCAAGATCAAGGTTTTTTTTTCGCTCTAGATGACACGATAGTTTTTATTATACGTGTTTGTAGAAGAGTGTTTTCTTTATAAAACATTTAGTTTTTGAAATCAGAGTCGCTGAAATCTATGAATAGAAAAATAAATTCAATTTTCATGAAAAACAGAATTATAATTGAAAACAACTACCAACTGTTCTACATTCAAGAGGATATCGTTCTCTTTCGCATGATATATATTATAATTAGGCTTGATCAACTTGTTTTTTTTTGTTTTTGATGAGTTATAAATCCAGATTGCTATTCTCATATTGTCAACTAACTTTTATCGCGAATATGCATTGTTGAAAAAACTACTTATGATAATAAAAAAAAATGCTTCTGATTTCAAAATCTAAGTATTTTGTAAAGAAAACAATCTTCTACAAATTTTCGTCTCTTTAAAAAAAAGTAACATTTCAATCATATCTTTCTTTTAAATAGATACAATCAAATGATTTTAATTGATTTAATTTTCGAAATATGAATCATGAAAACAAAAAACAAAAAAAAATAATCTATTTATTGAATGAATTTCGACACTTACCCAAGCGGATAAAAAAACATGGTTCACGTTTGAGCATTTTCTTGTTCATTTAGAAAACATCAAAAAGTTTTCTCGCAATATTTCTGACATACACAATGCATAAAAAAAAAAGTTACTTGTTTTTGCAAAATACATCAAAATAGTGTGGAAAAAAATTTTGTTTGTACATTTTTCTTTGTTTAAAAGTATTTTCAAAAATTCTTATCTGCTTAGGTATTGTATTTCTGATATTAAATATCTGTATTTACAATATGTTTCATATTTTAATTCCATTAGTTATTTCATAAAACACAATCTAAAAGGAGTGTTGAAATAAATAGGGTAAAAACCGCCTTCCTCCCACCCATCTCTGTAAGAGACGTTGTTGATATACGATCGCAGACTATATATGAATAACGTCTTGTTCTAACGAGTGTCTCATAATAAACGAGTCAAAAATGTTTTCTTCTTTTTAGAGTCCTTCCCCACGCATTCAATATTTCGTTTTAGACTCATTCGATAGAGAATCTTCTGCTCTATGAATCTATTGTCTTTGTTTTTCAAATAACTTTTTCTTAGTCGATACAAAATTCAAAAGATGAGCATCTACTCAATCGTATAATTGCAATTTCTGATTTTCTGCAGCAGTTGTTCACAATAAAATGGTTATGAATCAACATCTAGTAGTATTTTGAGACACATTCTGGAAAATCATGCTTTCTAAAGTGAAACTTGATCTACAACACGTTTGTTCTCATGCTGTCGAGTATAGAATTTAATTCTAAATCGAATTGTTTTACTTCAAAAATTTTTTTCATATATATATATTTCTTCAAAGATACAGAATTATTTTTTTTTTTTTGAAAAACTTTGCAATATATTCGAAATTTTAGCGAAATCTTTATGAAATATTTTCGCTATTTTCTCGTTTTTTTGATCGTCGCAATTATGCGATTGAGTAAGTGCTCATCTTTTAAATTTTGCGTCGACAAAAAAAACAACGGCATTATTTGTAGAACAAAGATGATAATTTTGTAGAGCAGGAAATCCTCTATCGAATGAGCATAAAATGAAGTCTTCAATGCGTGGGTAAGTGCTCTTAAAGAAGAAAAAATTTTTGACCCGTTTATTATAAGCCATTTGTTATTATATAAATGACTTTCTTCTTGCATTTCTGAATGATTATGTAAAAGGATGATGAAGAAATACGTCCTAATACAATTATCTCTCTGTGATTAGCAAGAGCAATTGCATCATGATGATCTTGCTTTTTTAAATATTATTTTTCTTTCATGTATGTAATATTAAGAATATTACATGAGAATTCTTTCATTAAGATTCAATGATTGTCTATGATATAAATTCTTTTCATAGGTCTAAATCATTTCTGCATATGATAAAATCATTTTGATCAAATAGCTAAGGTTTTTTTTCTATTTGATTGCAACATAAGTTCTGTAATTGGTTTTTTTTTGTTCAATAACAAGTTTATTTTATGACTAAGATACACCCACACCCAGCGTGGGATTGAACGATTGCTAATAGGATGGACGAAAGTTGTTGAAAATAATGGCGATTATATTGTTGATTGATGTTGTGTATCTTTATCGTTAAAATAAATTTGTTGTTGAATAAAAACAAAATTTGCAGAGCTTATATTGAAAAGAACTTCTATTATATGATTAAGTCGTTGTTTTTGTGTTTTTTTTTCTTTAATAAGAATTTT